TGTCCTTCCTCCTCCACCTACCCCCTCTGCCTGTCCCCTACTCCTCCTGTTCTCCCTCTGTGTCCCCTCAACCTGGTCCCCCCCTCCACCTGCCCCCTCCGCCTATCCTCCCACCTGTTCCCCCTCCTCCACCTGTCCCCCTTTTCTGCCTGTCCCCCTTCTCCTGTCCCTCCTCTGCCTGTCCTCTCTCCTCTGTTCTGATCCCTCCACCCCATTTGGTTCCCTTCTGTCCCTTTGTCCCTTTTGCTGGCCATGTTTCTACTTGGGCCTCCCCTGCCCGCCTCTTTCCTGGACCCCTGGCCACTCTGTCCTGTGGCTTTGTCTCCTTGGAGCCACCTCCCGCACCAAGCCTGCTCACCACACCCCACATTTTGTCCCCTTTTGCTTGGTCCCAGCTCTATCACCCCAAATGCCACCCCAGGGTCTCCCCAGCAGGGCTTGTGGGTGAGGCACAGAACACCAGGCCAGCCCCTGGGGAGAGGCAGGACCTCCTCACTCCATGCCCAGAAAAGCGGAGGGGGTTGGAGGGCAGACGCTGAGAGCAGCCTCCCCCGTGGTCCAGGGATCCTGTGGAACCTCTCATCCAGTGACCACCTGAAGGACCGCCTGGCCAGAGACACGCTGGAGCAGCTCACTGACCTGGTGTTGAGCCCCCTGTCGGGGGCTGGGGGTCCCCCCCTCATCCAGCAGAACGCCTCGGAGGCGGAGATTTTCTACAATGCCACCGGCTTCCTCAGGTGCGCCAGCCTGGGGCAGTGAGGCAGTGGGGTGGGGACTGCGGGCAGGTTCATTGTAGGGACTCCGCCTGGCCTGGCGTTCACAGCCGCACACACCGCACGCCCCGCACTGGGGGATGGGCGTGCAAGGGCCCAGGATGGGATGGGACAGGGCCTGGGATGGGGAGTCCCTGGGGGGCTCTGATCCGCCTCGGTCCCCAGGAACCTCAGCTCAGCCTCTCAGGCCACTCGCCAGAAGATGCGGGAGTGCCACGGGCTGGTGGACGCCCTGGTCACCTACATCAACCACGCTCTGGACGTGGGCAAATGCGAGGACAAGGTGAGGGGCGCGGTGCGGGCGGGGGGG